GACAGAGAGAGACAGAGCATGAGCGGGGGAGGGGCAGAGAGAGAGGGAGACACAGAATCGGAAACAGGCTCCAGGCTCCGAGCCATCAGCCCAGAGCCCGACGCGGGGCTCGAACTCACGGACCGCGAGATCATGACCTGGCTGAAGTCGGACGCTTAACCGACTGCGCCACCCAGGCGCCCCTGTCTGTACCTATTCTTATGAGGGAGGGAACTCCTTCCCAAGAACCCCCCCTTAGTCTTGGGCTCCCAGCCTCCAGAACAGTGAGAAAGAAACACTGAAGCCACCGTTTATGGGATTTTTGCTCTAGGAGCCGGGACAGGGCCGTTATCTATGGAAGTTTCGGGCTTACTCGATCATTTTTGAGAGGTCTGTCATATATCCAATTCCACACAGTTCAAAGGTCATTCCTTCAAATGGTGTTCCAGGATAAGGGGGCTAGTGCAGCGGACAGAACCACGCTTGTTACACGGACATGCTTTACACACTTACTGTCGCCGAACGTTAGCCGTGAGCTCAAGGCTGAGAGCTGGTGCTTCATCAAGGCCCTCCCTCAGGGAGAGCGGCTTGCTTCTGCTGTGGTGGCAAATGACTCCTGTCAGCAGTGGGAAAAGCAAGTAAGCTTAGTATAAAAATACCGTTGACCTCTTGGCCCCTTGAGACGGTCCAGGACCCCATCTGGGACCACACATTACAACACCGCCAGTGTCTGCGTTAAACATTTACAACAGCACTTGGGACACCACAAATACCTCACACACACCTTCCCTACTGCCTCCCTGCTTTTGCCGACCTTGAACACATTTTCTAAGTAGCCGTCTCGCCTCTGGTGCTTTAGGTGGGGCCTCTACTGTGCAGGTTGCCTCCAAGAAGCACCTCAAATGCCTGCAGTTCCCTGTCCTCCCTTTAGTACCACACTTCGCTTGCCCCTGGCCCCAAACTCCTGACCCTTTAGTGGAGCTGCTTCGCCAAGAACAGAAAAGAAAGGAAAAGGGATAACGAAATCCCCACATGTGACACACCAGCCTCTCAGCCCTTCCAGAAGCATCCGTACTTGAGTGGTTGGTAGTATAATCGAAAGCCAGACCATTTAACGAACACCGAGTAAGTCCAGCAAGTGTGGGAGTTGGGAACCAACAAGAGTGCTGTCCTGCGTGGGAATCTGGCCTTGGGGTCATGGTCAGCGGAAGCACAAGGGACTGGTCTTGCACTTCACGAGACAGCTCTCTGGGGTCCCCATTCGGCTGTCAGATTAGGAATGTGGGCCCGGAGGGAAGGCTCGTTTGAAAAGCCCACCGAAGCGTCAGGTGGAGACTTCACGACCTCAGCTACCGAAGACTCTGGATCCTAGTTGACAGACTGTCTTTTACCCAGTGTCCTAATCCTCTTCCAGCGCAGAGATAAGTATTTTGCGTTATAAAAAAAAGTCGGGGGGAGAACACACATAGCTTGATGAGGGATCTGCAACTAGAACGTAAAGGTCACGGGTCACCTCGGAGAGGCCCTCTAATGAAGCAAAACCACCCCTCCAGGGTTTCCTGTTCGCAGGCTGCGTGGTTTCTCTGCCCCAGACCCACCGGGAACGTGCGAGGCCCACTTTGGAGCCGACGGGTGGTCTGGCGGCTCCTCACGCGACCACGGACCCCTTCAGGCAAGCCTGTGTTGTCTGGAGTCCGGAATCAGTCCTCACGAAGCGTGTCAGAGTCTAGACTACGGATGCACGTGGACGCTGCACCCACAAGCACGTGACAGATCACAGTGGTGCCGATGCATAGCACACGTTAGAGGGACGTCCACGCTAGCTTGGGTGGAGTAGTTTTTAAACTTTCAAAACTCGATGGTCTATTCCAGAACTTCCTGAGACGGGTGCGAGCTTAGCCAAACCACCAGTGCAGCCAGAGAAAAGACGACCAGCACGTTAGGGCTGACGAGCACCCAGGTGCACAGAAGGCAAGTGAAAGGTCACCAGTCAGAACGGTTCAGATTCCGGTTCTGACCAGTTATGGGAAGCTCCCCCTGGTGGCATATAAGTGAACTCGATCCCAAGACAAGTAAATGGCGCACAAGGCACAGAGGCTGCGGGGACCCGGGAGCCCGACGGCTGGGCGTCTGACCTGCTCTACCGCTCGCCGGCCACGAGGTGCCGGCAGAGGATCGGGCCTCGCCTGGAGGCTGTGGGAAAAGAAAGGTCTCCGTCCAGGGTGGTGGGAGAAGCGGGACGGTTGACGTCTTGGAACGAGGCCCGGTCACGTCCGTCATGGTTACTTTAGGAAGGAGAATGAAGTGACAGCAGCCCACCCACATATGGTAACCTGGGGACCCTTCCTCGCACCCGGCCCACTGCTCGTGTTCCACGCCCCGCTCTGAACCTTCGCTGCTTTTGTCCCGCTGGGGAAGCCCCAGCTGTGCTCTAACGGCCCCTCCAGGTTTCTGCAGGGGGAGCAGGTGTCCGGCCGTTTGGGGAGGGTCAGGACAGGGGCAACCAAACACCCAGGGGACATGAGGCTGGAACCCACGCTCGCTACGTGGCTGGCAGCTCAAAGCACTTAGGGCACCCCCCCCGCCCCGCCCCGATCTCACTCTTTCCCACACTCCTCAGGATGGGTCTCCACGATCAAAGGACCCGTCTACTTAGAGACACGCGGCATTTAAATACGTTTCATAGGACCAAGCCCGGTCTTCTTTCAAAGCTTGAGACCAAACTCCATGTTTAAGCTGTTACAAGTATCTACAAATGAAAAAAAAAAAAGATCTACTCAACCAAACCCCTTCATTAGGGTAGCATTGGGTCGGTACAGCCAGTTTCTTAACTTGAAGAGAAGACAGCCGTTGTTTAAAGAGACCGCTTTAATAGAACAGATACAAAAGCCTGTGAGACCGCATTCCCATAACTGAACTTCTTTCAACAGGAGAACCATGGTAACTAAACATCTGTTTCTATTATAGCATCTACAGTGTCTGAAAAAAGACACAGTAATAAATAACTGTAGATGCATCACAAGACATCCGTTTATTTAATCACAACAGTGAACCTTACTACTACATTTACTCTCGTTTTTTTCTTTATTCTTCGGATTCCCCAGGCTTACGGATGTCATCGATCTTCAAAATCATTCTAACCATTTGTGTGGCAAGAGAGATCTGTTGCTTTTTGCCAATCAGAGTTTCTATGACATGCTGTTGCTTCATATCTGGAAAACACAAATAAATGAATTATCCTAAAACATATGTATTCGATATTAGTAACTTGCTCTCATTTGTACAAAGACACTGAAACTTAAAAAAATATAAATCTGGGGACGACTGGGTGAGTCAGTTAAGTGCCTCTTGATTTCCACACAGGTCCCAATCTCGAGGTTTGTGAATTCGAGCCTCGTGTCAGGGTCTGCACTGACAGCGTGGAGCCTGCTTGGGATTCTGTCTCTGCCCCTCCCCTGCTTGCGTGAATGCTCCCTCTAAAAAAAAAAAAAAAATAAAAAAAAAAAAAAATTTCTAAAACAAAACCCAAATCCAGAAGAAACCACTCATCCAGCTACATTTTCAGAGGGGTAGTAAGATTCCATTACTCCAGAGGACAGTCTGGAATTTGAACCTGGGTCCCAGAAAGCTGGGGGTGAAGGGGACCTCTCTTCAATGACAAGCCAAAGTGCTAGGTGACTGGCTAAAACCTTTCAGCGACATTTCATCCCACAAAATATTCACTCACATAATTTAGAAAGCCCAATGTAAGTGAAAAAATCAGACTGTATATGAAACATAAAATAATTCCAAGAAAGATGTAAACAAATTTCAGCAGAACCAGGCATTCAAGTTA